GCATTTGGTGATCCATTTTGGTGATGCCTTCAGCAAGATGTCAGGTAGCACACAAGGGGTGGATTCTGCCGAGCACAAAACACAAACACTGAACACACACTTAGGGTACCCTGTTGGTATCCAATTGAGGCACAGTGGTATCCAATGGTAATCCAATTAGCGCTGAGTAGACACTGAGCACGCACGACCAATAAAAGATGGGCACTAAGACCAAGCAACCGGTGATGAGCCACGGAGATGCAGGGATAGGCACTGGGTATAGAAGAAAGCACTAGTCACCGTGGACTAGAAACCGCTAGACGGGTGGCTGAAGATCAATGTGCAGTACGGAAAAAGTAACGGTATACGACGCTACTTGAAAGAGAAAACCAAGAAAAAGCGAAGAGGAAAAAGGGGGAAAAAGATGGAGAGGGGAGAGAGGTCGGGGGGGCGCAGCAGGCTGCTCACCCCTCGGTATAGATAGATTTGTCAATTGATCCGCGAATACACGGTGTGTTGCAGCCGTGCAGGCAGATCTCTTGACGGAAATAAGAAGGTAATAGGACAGTGAAATAGGCGTAAAACTAGAATATACTCACCAAACAGGATACAGACGAAAAAGATGAGAATAGCGATAGCAATGTGAACAGATACTGTTTTAATTAAAGTACTGTTGCCATTTTAAAATCTACAGAGTTTGTCGGCAACAAGCATAAAGTTTTCCATTGTTGAGCTTCGACTTTTGTTAAAAATTCTGCACGTTTATTGCTGGTGTTTTACAGCTCTAAACCATTTATTTACAAAGCGGCTTCTCGAATTTTAAAACTTTTAGTTCAAGTCCGTCTGGAAGGTTTTCCTCCTACGAATTTCTTAAAAGTTTCTTCCATAAATCGTCTTAGATTTCCTTCCGAAATTACATTTCGTCTTTATCTCGCCATCCAGTAACGAATGTCGGCATTCAAATTTAAAACTTGTTTTCAAACTGAATTTTCAATCCACAATGTTTTTATTTCAACAAAATTTTTTGTATTCCCGAACACTGGTGCCGCTTTCTTCTTGCCCTTCTTTCACTTATTGTATTTGCATGTCGACGAAATGTGCGGTGTGATCGGGCTGCGATTTGTAAACATTGTAAACCTAGAAATCCTCACTGTTGCCGTCTGTCTGGCTGTCTTCCATTGGTCTCGAGAACGGACTTAGCTAGACGAGAGACCAGATCAAATATGAAAACCCCAGGGTAAGGAGGCCCCGATTAAATATACAGGAATTCCGATGCAAACCGCAAGTCACGTTATTTCAGTGCAAAATTTTCCCCCAGAAGGAGTTAGATAGGTGACCGGTACGACTCCATTGTTAGAGGAAAAATATGATGTACAGGGACAAGCTTATGCTAATGTGTACTAATATTATAAAGAGGTAAAGTTTGTAAGTTTGGATGTAGGAGGTAATCTCCGAAACTACTCATCCAATTTCAAAAGTTCTTTCACCAATATTTAGAATGGACGTTCAGGTTGGGCACAGGCTGTATATTATTCCGTTAAACATTCATATAAATTAAAAGATATCATCTAGGTAAGCGTTATATTTTTGGTGTCAGTGGGCAAGACACGTACAGTACGTATACGAGATAGGTAACCACGCAGCACAGTTGTGGTCGGCGAGATATTCAGTGCACATGTCCAAACTTGTATATTACATAGATGTCGAAATTCCCCCCCCCAGGGGAGAGGGACAAAATTAAGGCTTTCCATGTAGAACTCGGCTTTATTACACTATTTTAGATGTGGTTTTTTGCATTTTTGATTGCATTTTAATAGAGTACGTCAAGAGAATGTATGCTAAGAAGAGATTTTTCGAAATTCCCTCCCGTGGGGTGTTATATGTTTATAATACTCGTAGATACATTTTGAGCCATAGCTACGCATGGCCGGGTACAGCTAGTCCTTAATAAATTTCTTGGATGCAATTTCTAAATCATCACATATCATCAAAAACAAAATTTTTGTATTTTAAAATAATTTAGCAAGAATGGAAAATGTTTTATAAATTTCAATTGGTCATATTTCTCTTCATTAGTTTTCAACATAATTTACATCTTTAAAAACAACCATCATTCATTATTCTTTTGTTATTTTTTAAATAATAGGTTGTTGCAAATGAAACTGCCGTTTTTCAAAAGTTAAACTTTTCAATTGTATCTAGTTCAAGAAAGTTCAAGGTTAATGTTCATTATTCAACCATTTCCTGATTTGTAAAGGGTAAGAAGCTCAACAAATGGGTACACAAACTTAGCAAGAGAGACATTCTTGATTTTCTAAAACAAAAAATCCAGCAATGAGTTGCTTAACTTTCCTGGCAACATTTGGTGGCACCATCTGTTATCATATTTTATTAAAAAATCTTTTTATATTTTTAATTATTATAAAACAGCAAAAAGCTTAATTTTGAGGCTAAGGATGAATTTTATAAAAAATTATATTAAAAAAATGCTAACAAGTAAAATTGTCATTAAGTCTGACTCGAGATATGACATACAACCCACTTTATTTCCCCACCCCTTCAACTTTTAATCACCAAAATTTAATATCATCAATCCCCCTAATAAACAAACCTCCCTGCAAAATTCCTGAAATTTTCGACAAAAAGCATAGGAGTTATTAAGCTTCAAAGAGGCGAACAAAATCATGCCATCCACACACACTAAGCAGCACAGAAACTGAGACTTCATACATGCAAGGTTATGATGTCTGTAAGGAAATGTGATCCATTTTTCATTTTTTGAAAATGATGAAACAATTAATGCAGAGAAATATTGTAAAGAAATTGAAACAATGCATAATAAACTATGCATTCAGGAGTCACATTGGTGAATACATGAGGTGTATGATGCAGAAGCACACCAACACATTGTAAACCATAAAAACATTGACAGAATTGAACTGCATAATTTTCCCTCCCCCACCTTATTTTCCATACCTTTTGCCAATGAACTACCTCTTTTTTAAACATCTTGATACTGTTTTGGAAGAGAACTCTTCAAGAAAATACTGTAAACATGCATTTGATGATTTTTTTTGCTTGACTCATAGTTTTTTTTTTTTTTTTATAAAATTGGCATTAATGCACTTACATTGCATTGGAAGAAGTATACTTGAGTTGATGGAGACTATTTTGAATAAATACCGTTTCCCCGAAAATAAGACAGTGTCTTCTATTAATTTTTGCTCTCAAAGATGTGCTAGGTCTTATTTTCAGGGGATGTCTTATTTTTCCATGAAGAAGAATTCACATTTATTGTTGAACCAAAAAAATTCCCAAGTTGAACTTATACAAGAGTGATGTATATCCGGTCGTGTCGAACTGAACTTAAATAAAACCGAAGTGAAGTTACGAAGTTCCCATGAGTGGACTTCCCATTCTCGCTTCAACTTAACCTTTTTATAGCATCGAAATTGGGCTCGATGACTAATTAGTGCTTACTGAACCGTAGCACTATGCAAATGTGACGTGGCTTGATTCCCTGCCGAACAATTAGCGATCACCAGCCATAATGTTATGCAAATCTGTGAGTCCCAAACCATAGTCTTATGCAAATCGTGCCATGTGGCATGATTGTCTGCTGACCAATCAGTGGCTATACTTTCAAAAAGCCAACAGCCACTTTCAACCATCTGTCGATGACCGTTATGAGTAAAAAGAAAACTTGCTAGGTCTTACTTTCAGGGGAGGCCTTATATTTAGCAATTCAGCAAAACCTCTGCTAGGTCTTATTTTCAGAGAAACACAGTATATACATATTAAGTTTGATTAAGACATTAAGCGCCACAATAGAAGGGTATAAAATATCACACTGAGTCATGCTCTCTGTTTTATAGACAAAATAGCACAAAAATTATGGCCATTTAATATAATTTTGTCTTCATAGTTAAAAAAACATTTTTTTCTCAATTTTTATGCATGTTGCAAAATTGCAACACATGGCCTAAATGATTTTTTTCTGGTCATGTTATGCCATCTTTTATGTTCATCAGGTTCTAAATTCAACAAAACATTACCATGTAAATGCATAAATTGATTGATACAAATCTAAGAAAAATGAAATAATCACTAAAACAATATACTTACTATTTTTGTTCACTAAAAGGTTGTTTCTTGAATATTTGTTCTTTGTGTTTTATATTTACATGATATTGTACTTATTCACATTCATTGTGCAAGAGAAACATCAGAAAAAACAAATTTTGCATATTTCTCATATTTTATAAGGGGGAAAAAATTAAATTTCTATTTTCATTCTATCATAATAAAAAATTTACTGGGCCAAGTGCAATTTCCATTCCTATAGGCAATGCTCTAACTATTTCCATTATGTTTATATGGCTAGTGTATTGCTCCAAAGTAACACAGCACAAAATTCAATGTATAGCATGTTGCATTTCTGCAACACAAGGCCTCAGGGGAATTGCTGGGTGTGTTACATATTTGCAACACAACACTTAATGTGTTAATAAACCCAATATTTTATTTAACTTGTTTTGTATCATGTCCTCAAATTTCATCTACTTCTAATTAAGAGAGAAGACAAATTCTGAGGACACATCAAAGTTTGATGATGTTTCCTGGAGTTAGCCCATCCCAAAACCTGATAAACATAACCAAATGTAGAATTAAATCATGATGTATGTAAATGCATTGTAGTGAAGTACTGTACATGGTGGGGTAAGGGCGACTCATCCCAATCTCTAAAAACATGACCAATAAAGTTTTTTTATATTAAAATTATTCAATCCATGTTGTATAAGAACTTCATTTTTTTAAAATCTTGATTTACTGAATGCATGCAAAAGTATTCCTAAGTTTTTTTGAAGGATATTATTAATAAAAAGCATTTAGAATAAAAGTTCTAATGTCATTCTTTTGTTTCTTATACAGGATGGAATTTTTTGAATTGGAACAAAGACACACGTGATATTCTTAAAACTGAATAAATTATGCTGTTAATAATCTTTATCATAAAATAAAAGTATTAATTTTTCATTAAATTTCAAACTTACAAATAAAAAAACACACTAAAAATTTTGCATTTTACATTTATAATTTTTACAATATTCAATACATAAGTTAAATACCTGTGATGCATGCAAAGATTCAAAATGTCAAATGTCTTACCATATATTTCATTGCATTTCAGATTTTAGTACTGCAGCTAGTTTAGGCAAAATTATTTACTTTAATATATGTAATTTAAGCATTAAAATATCTGAAAATGCAAATTATTTGTTTAACAAATCAGCATTTCTTCTTCGAAAAAAATCATTTTATATTTCATCAAGTTCTTTGGTGAAATCTTCTTCAGGAAAATCACCAACAGCAACATCTTGTGGTTTTACAAATCCTCCATATTTATCTGGGCAACTGAAATATCTCTTTCCATTAACACTGCCATCATTTTTTCCAAAAGGTTCATCATACTGAACACCAATCCAATAGCCTGGTTTAAAATCAGTTTCTCCTACATACATAACAGTTCCTCTTCTTTTAGGTTTTCCCCTAATGGTTACTTCACAACGATTTCCCACAGAAATATTCTGAATAAGTTGTTGTTCTTCTTCTTTAATTTTTTTAACTTCTTCTTCATTAAATTGACCAAGTTTATTTTTCAGCTTAAAAGCTCTTAAAGAATCACTTTTCTTTTGATATTCCTCATCGCTCAGGACAAACTTTTCTACTTTCGAAAGATCTTCAAACTCTCCGACATGACGACTGTTATCAATCACATGAATTCTCATACCTTCTCCAATTGTATAAGAACCTAAATTACTACCATCCGTCATAGTAGTAACCACTGCATCGGTCTTATCTCGCAACTCGAGTTTCATACCGGATGAGGATGCACCCGTGATTAACTCCAACTTTCTCTTCAGTTCGCTAATCGAGACGTTCTTCGGAAAACGTCTTTCCGTTCCAAACGAGTTAATGCTACTAGTTATTAATATACTTACCATTTCTGGACTATCGTCTATAATTTGATCGGCCATAATTTTTATAATCGCTTCACAATCTATCAAATGTTATTGGCAAAAGTCTAGAACAAAAAAAAAAAAACTCAAAATTAAATATTTTTACCCTTATATTTTACAAATTCAGTAAACATTTAGGTAATTGTTTATACTTGTTATGTGTATTTATATGCTGTTAGTGTTTATTGTCATGACAACCAGTTTTTAGGGACACAGTAGAATTGGTTTAATTCACTGAATGAGTATCAAAAACCATATTTCTGTAATCAAATTTACTATTTAAGAAATCAGGAAATAATTTAATAATAAAACTTTTGAATAAGAAGAAAAATAAATCTTGAACGTGCACTAAAATTACAAGTAAATAAACATTAAAAAATAAACATATTTCGTTTTATTTCATTCATTATTATAAATAAATGCCTTAACTATTCAATTAACGAAAGTCGGCTTTTACCTCTTTTTTTAGTCTTAGACACAGGACAGACAAACAGCCAAGACGCAATCAGTCCTAAAGTCTGCAAACGAGTGTACTGTCACGTGTCCGAGCATTCGAAATTCGTCCGATTTAATAAACGAACGCAACAGTTAAGTTCGGTGCGGTTCGAATTTTAACTGTTACGTTTTAGAACGTTCGCAACGGAATAAATTCAACTGCCATCTAGCGACTGACGGTAGAATCACGGGACTTTGGATTGTCCTTATAAATGAGGTGTCGAAAATATAAATTTCTCGCAATAGGTAATGTATAACGTGTGTCTTTCTCTGTTACAGTATCGAGAGAGTGAGTACGTGTTATCTGTTTTATTTTATACTAAATTAAAGGCAATTTTGCTTGCATTTTTAATAATGTTTTACAATCTTAGGTGTATAAAAATATATAATCGTAAAAGTTTCACTTTCATATCAACTTCTCATAGGATAGTGGGAGTGAGAGTCAGACACTTTTTAATTGATATAAATATATATTGAAGAACTTAATATGCTATTGTGCTGTAATTATTGCTCCTGTAATAGGTAGTTATTCTGCCATCTAATGTTACTTTTCTTGGGGAAAATAAAAAATGAAAGTTTGTATGACTATCCATGGCCCATAGTCTCCCACATGTGTGGTACTATGGGCCATGTTGTTTGTAGATATTGATTGTGGTTTTAACACTAAATAACTTCAATTCAAACACAAATTATTTATCGTATTCATACAGACATTTGGCAAATCACAGAATTATAATTCTGTGATTTGCCAAGTGTCTGTATGAATATGATAAATAATTTGTGTTTGAATTGAAATAAATTACTGACTTGGTTTCAAAAATAACTAAATAACTTTTTTTTTTTACAATTTGCAAGTACAGTATATGACAATTTAGATTCGTATAAGTTAATGTTGAAGCTGATTTTACGTTGGTGTAGTTCCGCTCTTGTTGCTTGGTTTGGGACACTTAGAATCTACATCTTCGGGAGCTATTTCGTCATTCTAGTAGAAAAATACACTTGAAGAAAATTTCTGCAATACAAGAACTTCATATCCATCATCATTTATATCTTGAAACAGTCCAATATAATGGAAGATTATTTTTTGGTTGAATATTTAATAGCATTGTAGTTGCCCACAGATGATGGGTCATCATTATCAAATGGTTTTTCATCCCCTTTGAAGAAAGTTGTTTCCGACAATAACTCAGGAACGTTGCTGTCAGATTTATCTGATTTATGCTGAAATTGATGCACAAATTACAGCTCAGAGGCCAAATCCGGTGCAGCATGCATTAATCTGGCACCTGAACATATCTGACACGTCACTTATAAATTATAGAAATAGGCCTTCTTTTTATATATATGGAATATAAAAAGTTATTTGTAGCCCATCTATATATGATTTGTTTGATTTAACTCACCAATTGAAAAGTTTTGGCATCACTGCCCAAAACATAAGAATGTGCCACATATATACTATAGATATTTGGATATGGCTTTTCTGTTGGGGTAGCATCAAAACTGGTCCATTGTGCCTGCATCATAATGTGATGTTGCATAGGCCCTGTTTTGCCTGTGCAATGTCACATGTCCCACCATGTGATGGGTACTAAGTAGACTAGTTCTTGCTGTCACGCCATGAAATATGCAAAGTGGCTGCTGATGTTCTACTTTCCCCTACTTGGTTTACCCTAACCCTTAATACTTGTTTGTAGAGGTGTTCATTTTTCTTTCTTTTTAAAGAAATTTTATACTGGTCTTAAATGGCATTTACACTTCAGAGTAATTCAGATAAGAACATGCTACTTGTAAGAAATATCTTGTATGTAAACAATGTTTAGACATATGATTTTTCATATGCATAGAACATTTATGTATGAGTTACTCATAGGTGTAAACATTGCTTTAAAGAATTATCACAACTTTACCACTTTATTCAAAAGAATTTCATCTTGTAATTTTAAAGTTAAATCCTTTGCAAACAGATTTAAATGTGATATCAATATATTAATTGGTTAAATAAATATAACAAAGTTGATTAATAAATTGATGTCTTGTTTTAAATCTGTTTACAAATAAAGATAGCTGTAGTTTTAAGCTTTTAATGTAGATGGAAAAAGCTTTTTTTTTTGTTTGTTTCCTTAATAAAATTCAAAGAATGATTGTGTCTTTTAATTAATTAACAAACTAAGGATTAGTTCACTAATCCTTAGTTTGTTAATTAACTACAGCTTTTTGACTTCCAGAAAAGAGTGCTTTTTTTAATATTAGATATTTTGCCTCTAAAATTGTCATTACATCAAAAAATTTTTGTGAATTTATAAAGATTTAGTAAAATATAGCAGTTTGAACTTAATATATTATTTATAATTAGCTGTATAAAATTATTTTTATTTTAAAAATAGAAATAAATATAATAGGTTAAATACTTTTTTAAATTCTGATTTTGCAATCTTTGATTTTAGTCTATAATCAAATATTAATGCAAGCATTATAATTCTGCTTAACATTCAATAAAATAATTTAATATAATTATCGTAATTTAAGATAACAGAAAATAAATAATTCTAAACATTTATAAAATACTGTACTTAAATTAACCATTTTCTCATATAAATATTTTCATATTTATATTTTAGAAGTTTATGGCATCTCAAGAATATTCAGCAAAAATTTTTAATA